TCCTGGTATGAGCTCGCTCGGCCGGAGATTTGGTGGTGGCTGCTCTTGGATGAGCTTGCTGGGCTCAAAGGGTCGCTCCACTGTGCCTTGGAAGGACGGAAGTCCCCAGTTCGGGACGGCAGTTTGGTGCAAATGTCCTTGGCTCCCAAGCGAGGGCATCTGCCGGCAGGCAGCCGACGTGGCCCCGGACCCAGCCATCGGCACCCTACTGGGGATGGCGGCGCGAGCCTTGACTCGAACCAAGGGACCCCTCTGCTTCACTGTGGTGTGTTATTGCCAGTGCAGCTGCTGCTTTATTTCACAAGGGCATTAGCAGACGACCCTGCGGCTGCTCCACTTTTGCAGCTCATCAACGTTACTCCGACTCGTGACGGTCAGCACATTGAGGTGCGAGTCAGATGCGAGGTGCCGGCTACCCTGGTGGGCCAGCCCCAAATTGCCATTGCTGACCGGCTGATGGCGTGTTTCGAGAGTGGACTCCTTCCAGCCAGACGCGGCGAGTTCGATCCGCGAATGTTTACGTATCCGGGAGCGTATCGGGGCACTTTTCGTCTGCTCTTTCCGCTTGCGGACATCCCACTGGGTCTGCAAGCACAGCCCTCTCTTTCATTCAGGCCGCGGGCCTGTTGAATAGTGCACTGTGGCGCCTTCGTGCTGCTGCTACCTCTGATGGATGGGATCTCCGAGCGGTAGTGGCTTATTGGATACGTGGGCCACAAAAGAAGGACTTTTACTTTCCAGCCCGCTTATGGCGCTTCGCGCATTTCGACGCATTTGACTCGAAAGCGATGGTCCTCCTTCACCGGTTGGTCGCCCGGGAAGAGAAGGAGCTGCCGGGTGGCGAGCGTCCCTGGGTCAGGTTGGGGCATCCCTGGGCGCAGGAAAGCTGGAGGGAAGCGGCAGATGAGTTCCGCAGGGAAGGGGGCCTTGGACCTGGCCTCCAATTTCCATGTATATCCACCGATCTAATGCCACATCTGCATGCCCCCGACTCGGATACTCACCAATACACATTCCGAAGGGTGACGGAAATCTATCGTGAGGGAAATTACCAGCTGCTCTATCTCTTAAGGGAGAGTCATTTCCCTTCGAGCGGTCGTGACATGCAGCGCCTACTCGACAGCTGGCCGCGCTCAGCGGCGGCTGGCTCTTCTAGTTGACAGCCAGTCTCCATCAGCCGTTATTGTGACCGACGACATACGTCGTTGCGTCTATTTCTCTCTCTCGAGCAAGCGACAATTGGGTTTTACTCGGCTTCAGCGTGCTTAGCCGAGGTCGGGCTCAAACGACGTGGGCAGGCAGGCCCTCGCCACAATGTCGATGCACCCCCTGTTTGGAAGCCGGCCACGCTTGCCAGTGGGCTTTGGAATTTTGGCTCTGGGTGCCCTGGTTGTGACGGAACAAATGGGATTAGGCGGTTCATCTCTGTCTGTGATCGCTTTCCCCCTGTGGAAGCCGTTGCGACCGACGACATACGTCGTTGTGTCTATTTCACTCTCCATGTCACTCATGCCCTCGATACCAGGTTGATGCACCACCACCTTGAGCTCGGACCTGGGCTCTGGTGTGCACGTTCGAGACGGGACGATACACAGGGGCTGCAGAGGCTTCGTAGTTTGGGCCACGGCTTACGTGGTCCAGGCCGTTGGAATGATCTCCTCGGCGGACATCGAACCGTCGTTGTCACGTTCGCCTAGGTCCTGGCTGCACTACGTGGGGTCAACTGTGTCCTCTTTGAGGGGCGGATCCGCTGGGCGTGGGTGCAGTTCCGTTCTGATGGTCCACGAGCGGAGAACGCCACCCCCTGCACGACGCTGCCCGTGTGGGTCGCTACCAGGCCTTCTCCCTGAGGGCGCCGGGAAAGGCACGGCTAGGCTGTGGGCTTGCCTGTGGTTGCTGGCGGGCTCGGTGGCCACGTCACTGGGGCTTGGATGACGCCCCGTACCGCACTGCGGACAGTAACGCACCGCAACGTCCTGCTCTGCCGGTTTGCACTCACGCGCCTTCAGCCACATGCGTGCTCTGTGCTCCTAAGCTTCGCCGCCTGGCTGCGACATACGTCGCTCGCCCCTTCACCTGTCCATCGTGTTAGTTCCCACCTCCGAACGGTGTCTTCAATTGCTGCCATGGCCGCCACAACGGTTTGACGATGCTGTGGAAGCGTGTGACCGGCACGTCAATGTCCGCCTTGGCGATCTCTGCCTGTCTTAGCGGCTGACCCAGTGTTCCAGCTCACGGCTAGGGACATTGTTTTGATTCTGCTGGCTGCGGCGGCCATGCGCACTAGCGTGTCGTGGTCGAGCAACTTTGTCACTGGCAGGACTCCGGCAGTATGCCCGTGAGGGTGTGGCCCACACAGGTTGCCAGTGTCGCATCAGAGCGTCGTCTAGGCGCTTGGCATGCGTAGGGTCGATGACGGCGGTTGCGTGGGCGGATTGCTTGCCTGCGGCACTGGTCTTCGCACTCCTTATCAGGAAGCCACCCACGCTGCAGTGGGCCTTGGGCTTTTGGATTTTGGTGTGCACGATCGTGACGGAACAAAACACAGGGGTTGTCCGTTGTCTGGCGAGACTAGAACGGCAACCGGAGCCTGGACTTGGCTCCACCTGTTGTTTTGGGCAGCTCTGAGCGACGGCTCTTTGTTGCTCCTGACCGGTCGCTGAGGCTCCGTAGTTTGTGCTGAACGGCTAACACCGGCAAAGCCTGTGCGCCGCAGCCCTTGTAGAGCTTCGCTTTGCTGTTTCACCGCTTTGTTGTAGTTTGATGCTTGGATTGTAGTTTCGCTTGTTTGTAGGGACCGAGTGCTACAGCCGTAGTCGACGAGGCCCAGTCAAGCCAAAAAAAAAAAAGGAAGTGTACAAGCTGCGAAATCCAAGCTTTCCACCAAGGATCAGAGTCGAATCTTCCGCCTTTGAGGACAATTTTTTTGTGCGGAGAAATCATGCTTGGAACTTCACCGCGAAGACTGAGCGGAAATTTGCACTTCACCACAGCGGAGTGTCGTGGCCCTGATAGCTGCTGTTTCCAGGACATTTTAAAATTTTAAAAAGTTTCTTCGAGCCTGCGCAGGGATTTTACTCCAGAAGAGGAACCTGTTGTCAAGATGACTCAGGAGAAAGTTTGAAAATTTCAGTCGTGTTTGTGTCTATGCGACGTTTTTCTGAACCAGAATGGAAAGAGTGAAAGTCAAAACGTTTCAGCGGCTCTTGGGTTTAACGTTTTTGCTGGGAGATGGGATTCCACACAATGAAACATAACAGAGAGTTGGAAAGCAAACCGAAATTGTAGGCTCCACAGGGCAATTTTCATGTGGAAGCCTTCCGAATGTCCTAGACCTTGTTTCGACCTTCATTTTGACAGATTTGACGGGCTCATGTTCGAGGCTGAAAAACCTTCGAAAACATGTGCGCCACAGGGGACTAAACGCCAGCCAACACCAGCAGCAACCACCATCACTTTCCACAAACACCGATACCAGCAGTATTTTTGCCACTGCTACGCCAAGCCGTTTTCTGAGTCTGCGTGAGAACAACGGCTTGAAAAAGGCAGATCGTATCGGAGCCATCTCTGGTTGGAAAAAATTCTCTCTGCAAAGGACTCCTCAGGAGGAACTTTCACTTGGTTTGTGACATAGCATTGTTGTCATTCAAAAAGGTGTGATGGATTTTTCAAGTGATTCTGTGCGGAAAAACATCTATGTGTTCACTTCACAGCTAGTAGGAGTGGGCACAATTGCGAAATCTTCCTCGCCAGCTGGCCTGCATTGCCTCCTTAAGGCGCCGTGCGTACCCTCAACGAATCTTGTTTCACCGCTCGTGGCTTTTGCCATGCCGCAGTGCTGCATGCATCTTTAGCTGGACATTTGGATCGCATCCGCACCACAGAAATGATTTTTGTTGGCAATCTGACAGGTTTTGCAGTCCTTGTGAGTTTTGGGCCGCTCTTGTTTTGCTGTCGTGTTTGGTAGCTTAATCAAGAAAAAGGACCTGAAAACTGCTTTACCTGGTGCACTTCCGATGCGAAGTTGGCTTTGGTCCTTTTCATTTGTGCGCAATGTAGACATGTCGTCCCAGCAGCCAGTGTAGATCAACAGCTTTGTTTTACCAACGCAATAGTGCAGGACAAATTAATGCTTGAGCTGCTTGATCCAGCTGTCGCTCGAATTGGAATGCTCCAAGCACAGATTTCGTTCAAACGGCAACAGCGCCATGACACTCAACAAAACATTTGCAGTGTGTGTGTGTGTGTGCAACCGAAGAATGCAAACAGTGTAGAATATATTGCATTCATCCTTACGTGTGTGTGCGACATTACGACATATTTGTTTCATCTTTGCTTTATTTTCGTTGGATTCTTGTTTCCTTTGTTTCGTCTCTGCTTCAACTTCATCTTTGCCCTCGAAACAACAAATCGCGACATTACACTGAGGAAGAGCTTCTCCGACATCTTGGAACCAGCGTGTTTTGTCAAGGGTTAATGCAATGTGGGTCCCCAGGAGCGTCTCTCCATCCGAGATCTCTTGAGATCTTCGCTTCACCTTTGCATTTCAAAATCACGCACGAATGCTTCTTTGTAGTGACTGCGCGGGGTGACCGCAGAGTCACGACCGCGTCGTGACCGCGTTGATCGTAGTGACTGCATGGTGATCGCATGGTGACCGTGTTGTGACCGCGTGGTGACTGCGATTTCATCGCTCGCTGTCTTGTTCCCAAAACACTGTGTAGTGACCGCAGCGACCGCGTGACCACACTTTGTCACCGCGTTGTCTCTCTCGGTTTGAGAAAGCACCGCGTAGTGATCGGAAAATGCTTCAAGTGCAGATACGTAAGTTGTTGTATGCCTGACTGAACCATTGCACGTGAACCGTTGCCTCATACTCAGAGCTGTTGCGGGCAGCTTTGTCGTCCCGGCAAGCCGGCACTTGAGCTGCACAGCTGCAATTAGCAGGTGCAATGCTGTCACAAAAACTAGTTTTTCGGAAGGTGCAGCACACCAAGCTCATGGGTGGTTTCAGGACCACTACTAGTGGCAAGGCAAGTTGCTGCTTTGACCAGTGATCCTGTTATCGATGTTATTGTCCCGGCACAAAGGGCGAAGGAAGTTCGCGATGGGAGGTCAAAGAAGCCCTCTAGCCATGTTGCTTGATGCCGGCGCAGACATTCAATTTTCATGGCAGGCCAAAGACAGCGGCAAAGGTCGCAAGGAAAGCGGAAAGCGCGGTGGGTGGAAAGGCAGTGTTCTTCCTTTGTGGTGATTTGCTTTATCATCATGAATCTTGTTGGTGCTCCGAGTGTGAGGTGATGGAAAATGGTGGCCGGATGAGGCTGGACTAAGCACATCCGGTTCAGCTGACGAATCTGCCAGCTTCTGACCAGGACAAAGGACGGAAAGAAGGAAAGCACGGAAAGGGCAAAAGCAAGAAGGACTTGCATTCAGCTGCGCAGTGAGGTTTGGAGTGGCCATCTGTTTGTGAAATTCGAGACAGGGCGATGAATGGCAAGGCAAAGCACGCGATTGGTCTTCTAGAGATCGTGCAGGTGCGCAGCAGTGCTCGGCATTGCAAAGTATTTCCTCGGGTTTGTCTCGATCCTGGCTTTCGTGCAGGCAAAGGTGGCGAAGAATTAGGCGGATCAACTTGTTCCACCATCTTGATAGTGCGCACAATGACACCAACCTGCGAGGGGAAGCAAAGGAGTCTCGAAGCCAGCTAAGCAGCAACGCGCCCGACTTCCAGCCATCTGGTATGTATGACTACGATGCCGTGTCCCTGGAGTTTTTGGAGCCTCCAAAGATGCAAGAACAGCTACACGAGCTGCCAGGCTCTCGCTGCTCAATATTGGAGTTGGCAGCCTTTTCTTCAGTGCTGTGCTGAGACTCGGAGACCAGTCCTGACTCCTGACCACGGCAGGGACTCGTGTCACTGGTGTCTAGACCTAGAGTTGGTCTATGATGTTTTCTCCGGCCTCAAGCAGCTGTGGAGTTGGTTGTTAACGAAGGCGTGAGTCATGTGTGACATCCTGTCTTGAGTCTTGCAAGCAGCTTGGACTTGAGGAGTGCTTCGATGCTAAGGGAGATGCCGCCTCTGTGGAGGGAGTATGCAGACAAGGCGCATATTGAGGGAGCGAGCTGGGACTTCGTTTGCATGCATCCTTGGCTGTTCTTTTTCGCAGCTCGCTCTTGCACGGTAGAGTATCCGGGTGTTCCAGCTGACCCTGTGCTTCTTGCGAAGTCTGGTTATCCGAGCGTCTTCGGCAGTAGGGCACACTTCGGAGCATCTTCACTTCACTGTGGTGAAATCACACTTGCCTCTCGAAGCCATGTCGATGGCAAGTGGATCCGGCGGTGGCATGATGCAGTCTAATCCTGCAAAGCTGAAGAAAAGCCCGTGGCCCTAGAACCCAACAAAGGGTCAACGTCAGATAGCTGCAGTTTCGAGCTGCACAGAAGCACCTAGGCCACATCGTCTGCACCATGCGGCCGCTGCGAGTGTGCATCGAAGAGAATAGCGGTGACATTTCGAGGCTCGTGGCATGTGTAGTCAGTCCGGTGCACAGGCCGTCGCTGTCAGCAGGTGCATCAAAGAGGTGGAGGAGTTCGAACGAACGTGTGACAAACGTCTGGAGTATGACCTAGTCTCAGTAGCTTGCGCTTGATGTCGGTCATACTGTATCATGCATCATCGTGCCCCCCTGTGTTCAAGGTGCATGATCGTGATGGATTGGATGATACGCGAAGTGGCTTGTTCAGTGGGCAGAAGCAGCGCGCAAACTGAGTAGTTGCGAATATGCCCGCCTGCCAGAAAAGTGTCAACCGAGTTCGAACCGCCCAGTAGCTATCGCAGGATGCGATCAGTGAGCATATGGGTATCGTAGCTGCCTGCAGGATGGTACCAAGTACTACTACAATGCAAAGACGGGCCTCACACAGTGTGGCCCTCGCTGTGTAGCCCACTCGCGAGGCTACAGCCTATGCATGTTTCTGTAGGTGGGAGAGACCTGCGGAGTTGGACCCTTCGCCTGCCACATGGCATGACTGAGTGCAGCGGACTTCTGCGTATCTCGCAAATGAGTCTCATGATGAGTCGTATGATGCGTCGCATGATCTGTAGATTCATAGATATGAGGACGGCATTGGTGGAAGCACTTCCAGTACAGGTGGTCATGCCTAACACTTATGCTGTGCAAGCACTACAGTACCATATAGTTGAAGGAGCACATCTTGCTCAGAATTAGGCCAGCAAGAACAAGGACAGTGGTGTCCCTGGGTCGGTTGCTCAGTTCTCACCAGTTCTCACCACGAAGTGGCTCGACCTGCACTCGATGCTGGCGAGGCCCTGGCGGGATCGTGAGAATGACAGGGACCGGATTGTCATGACTTCCGGAGGGGAGTAGTCGACCGGGGAGAGCTCGCCAATCCGGCGCAGGAAGAGCTGAAGAAGCTGCGAAGTGACGAAGGCCCGAGCCCCAGCCTGTTCCAGCCTGGCCTTGAGCTTCTGAGCCTCTGAGGCAAGGAGGGCAAGGGCAAGCGCGACCGGCGGTAGGGGCACCCAGCAGCGAAACCGAGCTCGCCATGGCAGCGTGCGAGCGTGCGAAGTGGCAAGGAGAGCCGGCAAGTCAGACGCAAACAACTCCAAGGCTCCCAAGTGTTTTCTGCTACATGCGAGATGATGCGAGTGTGAGTCTGGCGGTCTGGCGTGCGGTGTCGCAAGGAGCCAAGCTTCGGCCCCCCCGGATGCAATCTCTTCGTTTTTCATTTGCCTGACGCCTGGCCCTCAGATTTCATGTGGCGCCAGGGCCGCTCGGCTCTTTCAGAAACCTCAGGACTGGACTGATGATGACCTGTTAGAGTACTTCGCCCCGCAGGGACTCTCAGATGTGAAGTTGCGAGTGGACGAGGGTTGCCTGCCCAACAAACTTTCAGCTCAGCTCGAGGGTTCTCCCACTCCCCTTTCCTCTTCCCCCTCTCCCCGTCTCTCTCCCTCTCCCTCCCTCCCTCTCCAGCTATTGCTTTTGGTGTGCAAACTTGATTTACAGGTTCGAAAGGACACAGATCCCAGGGAAGAACGTTTCAAGGTGATCTTCCAGGCCTTTTACTTGTTGTGTTTTCGGGTGGCTTTTCCAACAGTACTAGGTACAGCACTCCGGTGAGTGTCGAGCCTCTCCTTTTCAAGTCGTCTGGCTTCAGGATTTCAGGATGACGTTTTGAGGTTCCGACAGGCAAACTGCCAAGTGTACTTCTAGCGCCAGCTTTGCATCTCCAAGATCCAAGAGCATGTGCTTTGACAAGCCATGCCACCATGTTGGATTGAGCACTGATTCACACACGCAGTTGCACTGCAATGCGGTTTGAAAGAGAACGGCCAGTCTGCAAAGTGCGTTTGCCCAGGCACGGGAACGTGGTGAGTGCCAAGGTGATGAAGGCCTGGCCTGGCCTTGCAGAAACAGCGCAACTGCCGCTGCTGTCTGCAGGAACTTGGCACTGGCCGATCCAGGGGCTTCGGCTTCGTCAGCTACGAGGCGTCGGGCCGGGCGACCGGGCGACCGGCCCACGTCAGCTCAACACTCGGCGCTTGTGAGGACCGGGTCAGCGCAGCCACTGCCATCAAGAAGATGCAAGGCTCGGCGGCTCGAGACACTCCAAAGTTTCTCCGCCGATTGTGCTTTTGCAAGGCTACAAGATTCTGGGCAAGCGGCTCAAGGTCGAGTTCAAGAAGGGAGAGGCGGGAAGTCAGAGATCTTGGAGTTCACGGCACTGCGTCGCCGTCAGGGAGACAACGGAAAGGGAGAGGCAGGAGATCCGCGGGTCCAGCAGCCGTTCGCCGCGAAATCAGATGTTCCCCAGGCAGAGAAGATCGACCTCATAGAGGCGACCAGCAAATTTCTTGCCAGGAATGGCAGCTAATGGTAACTCTGTTTGACTGCAGGAGAAGAGCAGTGGTGACGACGAACGGCTGATAGGCTATTTGAGGCGCGAGGGCCGGCTCATGGTCTGCCCTGAACTTCTTCGATGTGTGCCGAGCTGTAGGGCCATCTCAGCAAAGTCTGTGGTGCAGTCCCTGAAGGCTGGGGGGTTCCGCCGAATCACGAAAGTACTGAACTTTGAGCTTCCTTCCCTGAGAACTCGCGCAAGGCGAATTATGTCCGAGACCACTGTAAGTAAAACTGCAGGTGTAGGGATTTTGGCTCCAAGCTAGCACGTCGCCGTCCGCGACCTTGGATGTAGTAAAGTTGTGGCTTCCATCATTGAGAAGAGAGGTCAAGATAGGGAATTCGGGTGAGTGTTACAGTCGATACTGAAGTCTCGAAGAACCACTGCGTGTAGAGGGTGAGCAGCACTATTTGGTATCATATGCTGCGTGTGTTACGAAACGCCATTGCTCATGGTTGTCCGTTCGCTAGGATGTGCTCACAGAAGCTGTGGCAGCATAGGCGCAGTTCCCAGAATCTTCCAAAACTTTCAAGTGTAGATGCACTCTAGGCCTGACGTTATCAGACGCGACACAGTGCCAACGGCAAGAAGACGAAAGCATGCCAGTGCGACGAGAGATGAAATGCAAAGCTTCATTGGGCTCGCTTACCAGCATCTGGTGTCTCAGAGCTGCTTTGGCTGGTAGGAGTCTGAAAAGGCGGCCGAAGCCGAGGAAGAAGGGCAGCCATTGCCGGGAACACAGAGAGACCGACGGAGATGTTCTCATATGACACGAGCACGGGAGAGCTTTCTGTAAGGGATGACTTCGGTTTGGGCCTTGGCCGCTTAGCCGACGTCGATGATTCGTCAGGGTTCGCATTTTTGGGCTCTGCAGGTGACTAGAGTGCACCCTGGAGCGGCCTTGCAAAGCCTCACGGTCAGGCAAAAGAGTTCTTTTCTTGGACCATTGGAGTAGCAAGTAATGACTCTGAACGCCAGGCCGACGCAAGCTGCACCACAACGGTCAATGGCCAGATTTCACCTCGTTTTATCGCCCATCTTGTTGAGCATCGGACCCCTCTGAACCAGATGCGCGTTGGGCAAAAGCAGAAGCCGACTGCAGTGGTACGAAGAAAGTCACGGCAGGAATGTCTCACGTTCAAGGGATGGCATGACGAACATGTTACGGTTTATCTGGGGCATGTTCTTGGAGTATTTGTGATCCTGCAAGTGCCTTCTTCGTGCATGCCACCTGCTGCCTGCCTGTCTAAGTCAAATGCGCTTAGAGCACCATTCTCGCATGCTGAACGTGCCCTGCTGCAGCCGCCGGTCCAGCGAACCGTTGTGTTGCGCGGGTGCGTCCGCTTGTACATGGCTTGTCGACAATACGTCAGAGTCGGGTATAGTCGGGTTATATGGCACTGTACTTGACAGTCACTGCGAGTGGAATTCTGTGATCTTTCTCTTGTGACTGACTCGATTTTGTTGTTTCTCTCTGGAGGTTGTATGTACGTATTCCGGCATCAGTGGAAGGCGCGGCAGTCCCTGGTGTAGCAACGTGATCAGTAGGATAGCTGTAGACTAGAACAGACAAGACAGCCACAGCAGCATCGCCAGCGGGGTCGTGCGCGAGCAGGTCGGCTTTACCGGGAGTTGGGCGAACATGTCCTAGGTCCTCGGTGCGGTTGTTGGGCTTCTGATCTGGGTATCGCGGCAAGGCCTTGACAGCTGCACGTTCAGGTCGTGCCCTCGCCAGTTGCCTGCCAACGTTTCAGACATCCAGCACCGGTGCCCCGATCCAGGAGACATGGTGCCAAGACCGAAAGGTCAAAGACGGAAAGGAAGCCAACGCATGCTCACACCCGTTGCGTGGCTTTCGGGATTTTGGTGAAGGAGCTCGTCCTCGAGACAAAGCTCCAAGTGCGCGACGGCCACAGGCAGCAAAGGGATTCGCAATTTGCCCAGCCAGGCTGATCACGGCCCGCCATGACTCCGTGACTTTGACAGGAGTGCAAGTCAGCAGCGCTGGACATTCTGAGGCAGTCGGCCGTGGCCTGGGTCCGAGAAAAAAGGGAGCCGGCGGCTGTGATTGCTCGAGTCGTTGGCCCCCGTCGCAAGGACGCGAGGGTGTGGAGGCAAATCCTGGCGTCGCCCTCGGTGGCGCAGTTCGCTCGCAGGCTGGGCCAGGGCCAAAAGGGCCAAAAGATGGGCTATGTTGGGCTGTTGCTGGAGGAGGGGCAGAGCAGCTCTGAGGTCTCTGACCGGGAAGGCCTCCCGCGATCCCAGCTTTGCACGGGAGCTCCTTTTCACGGTGCTCACAGGCCCCCCTTCCCCCAGGGCCAAGGCCGTAGATTTCCCTAAGATCTGAGATTCTTCAGGGCATCCCTCTGCAGACGTTCAGTCGACTGGGCAGGACGAAGCGAGGAAGCCACGAAAGAGGCAGAGCAGGCTCAGGCCGGGCAAGTCTCAGCGATCGAGACAAAGATGCATGTCCGGTCCGCATTGCTGATGGGATGAGTGGACTTGGACTGCGTGGGCCTGCCATGAGGTGGTCTCTGCAGGGACTGCATTGGCAGCAGATCGCCCGACACGTCGAAGGCAGTTCCGGAAGTGAAGAGTTTCCACATTGACATGTTTCGAAGCAAAGAGAGGCGCCTGTGCTTCAAGCAGGGCGAGGCAGGAAGTGACTTAGCGCGGCGTTGCCTACATCCCTTTCTCATGGGAGCATTCGGTGACGAGCCTTGTAAGATACTACAGAGGCTAGGTTTTGGAGAGCTGTGTTCGGGAATGAGGCGGCTGTGACGCAGTGAAACTTGGTTTTTGAACGTTCACCATCCTTGCCGGTTTTGTCTCAGTCGCCCTTCCCATCATTCTCCTTTTCATGTCTCGGTCTCCAAGTCCGAAAGACACAGAGTGCGCCTACGAATTGGCGATATCACCAGCATCCTTCTCCTTTCTCCCTTAAACCCCACACTAAGCCCACTAAGCTCAACGTTGCGACTTGGAACATTGAAGGCCTCAAGGAGGTAGCTGAATATGATCAAATTCTCCTTTTTGCTAAACAACATCACTTTCACTTGTTGGCTGTTCAAGAAACCAAGGCTGACTCCAGCCACAGCTTTTGCAAACCAGGGTGGGAGATTTTACATTCGAGTACTCCTGCTGGCAAGCATCACGGGGTGGGCTTCTTTGTCTCCCCGTTCTTGAGACCGTACGTGTCCAACTTTTTGGCCCATGGCCACCGCCTTTGTGAAATTACTATCCACATCATCCCTCACCCTATCACCATCATGTGTGTATATGCTCCCAGCCAAGTCGAGGATTCCGCCGAAGACCTCAAGCGGAAGCAGGAATTTTGGGATTCCCTTGATCATCTAATCTCTTCCCATGCTAATGCAGATCACCTCGTTATTTTGGGTGACTTCAACGCCAGACTCTCCGCCTCCATGGCAAAGGATGTCCCGGGCCTCGGCCCGCACGTTTGGGGCAGACGCCAAGCATTGGAAGATCCCGATCGGGACAATGCTGAAAGCATAGGAGCGAACACGAGGAATGCCGATCTCAAGGCGATGTGGATCGAGGAGGCGTTCCGCCTTCTGCAGGTGGGCGTCTCTAGCAATTGGTGGGGCCTCGGGTGCCCTTCGCACTGCCAGGGGTCTCTGCTCTTGCTGCTGCTTACCTTGAGCTTTGGGGTTCTGTTGGGTGTGGTCTTTACGGTTTGGTTCTTTCGGGATACCCTTCTTCAGGGACCTCGCTTTGCACCGGCCACTGCTCCTCAACAGCCTCCTCCTGCCAAGCGGCCTTCTGACTTGAGGCTCCGGGCCTATCTGCATGAGTGATCCAGATCTCTCCTCTGCGATTTCTCAGCTGGCCGAGTCTTTGCAGCAGCTTTCTTTGGCTGTGCGTGCCTCCTCTGCCCCTGCCCCTAGTGGTTCTAGTGACGCTTGGTTACTAGTAGGGCCTGATACCCAGCCTGGGTCCCGTGCGGCTACCGGGCCCCTTGCGGTTGTTCATCATTCCAAGCTCTCGCCTTCGGAGCTCACCTCTCGTTACAACGTTTTGGAGGCTGACTTTCCTCCTCTGCCTGATCACTGCTTGCGTGCCTGCCGCTCCCTTGTCGGGTCCGGCGCTACTCCTCTTCAGCGCGCCCAGCGGGCCTGGACAGCTGGTCGTTGGGCTAAGCACGTTTTGCTGCCCCCCGGCCTACTAGCCGATTGCCTTCCAGCCTCAGGCCTCAGGTTCTACATTGTTTTGCGGTGTGCAAACTTTGAGGGGCCTCGGCTTGTCTCCTCAGGCCGCTCTTTCAAAGAAGCAGTCGGCTCCCTGGAAGAGTCTTCTACCGTGTGCCACTCCTTCCCCTCCTTGTCGGAGGTTGAGGTCTTCTGCGAAGCTGCAGGCGTTGCCGTGCCACCGCAGCATGACGGAGCTGGAAAGTTTCGAGGTTTTAGGGGATGGGGTTCTGAAGTTCATGGCCCTTTCCTGGCCGGAGGGTCCAGAGCGCACGGCTCCTGTGCCGGAGGCCTTGGTGATCCGTCGGACGAGCAAGGCCAAGAGCAAGCCCTCGACGTGGAGATTCCGGTTGTGCTAGTGGATTTCGGAGCCGGTGTTCAGGCCTCTCTTCGATAATTAGGAGACGATCTGGTGTCGGATACGATTTTCCCTTTCTCCTTGCACCAGCCCGAGGCGGCCCCTCTGAGCGACGATCTTCTTTTGGCGGCGAGGGCGAGTCCCCCCTGGATGCCTATTACACTGCTCAGGAGGAGGTCGCTCCGGCTCCACCTCCGGCCGGCAACCCACCAAAGGGCAAGAAAGCAAATCCCAAACGGAGGGTCACGACAACGGACCTCGCCGCTCGCTCAGATCTCAACGATGCTTCCCCTCCTTTCGGAGCAGCTTACTGCAATGAAAGATCCGCAGGACGCTTTCGAGAGACAGGGCAGAGGCCCAGTGGCAGGTGTGCAGCAGGCTGCGAAGCCTCCCCACCAGCAGCCCTTCATGCCCCCCAAAGCCCCGGTTTGCCTGTTGCAAAGCATGCAGCTTTGATGGGCCCTCCTCCCTGCGCCAGCTCCGCCCGGTGCCGGGGTCGACTTGACCGATCTAGGGACTCCAGCCCAGGACCCTTTCCAGGCTGCGATGTTGCAGCAGTCCCAGGCTTTGTCGACTTTGGTGACCCACCTGCTTGCCCAGCAGGAGAGCGGTGTGGAAGGTCTTGCGTCATCAGCCTCTTCCAGCTATGTGGGTTCGAAGGGGGCAGCAAAAAGGGAGAAGCTTCAGGTGGCATTGGCCTCCCGGTCTGGCGACTTTTTTCTTGCGGTGATGCAAGCCGCTGCCCGCCGCATGCGTCCGTCGATGCCTCCTCCCCTCTCCGTCGAAGACTGCTCGGGGCAGGTATCGATGTGCCAGTATCTGGAGAGGTTGGGCGGTTTTGCCGGCCAACGGGAGAACGGCTACTTGATGTGGTGCCTGGCGCACGTGTTGGACTGCATGGCACAGCGAGACAACAAAGGGGCCGAGCATCTCTCCCTTGTGCTTGTGGCCTTGGACCAGGCCACGTTGGACGGCAACCGCTGGGATTTTGCGTGGCTCCTCACCTTGCTGGAGGAACCGCCCTCCAAGCTTTTCCATGGCAGGGGGGCATCTGTGAACCCGCGCTCCCGAGCATACTCTCCTTTGTGCCCCGGTGCGTGGAACACCTGCGCCCTTCAGTGTTCCTGAAGGAGATCGACCTGATTACAACGAGGCGGTTGGAGGCCATAGGTCGACAGAAGCCCTTTGGCCCAAAACCCGACGCGGACGCAGAGGAGCAGGACGACCAGCGACCAAAGAAGCCTCCCCGAGGCCCTCGAAAGACAAGGCCGGACGCGGCAAAGTGACTTCGTGCTCCCGGCTTCCTCCTGGCCTTTATTGCGGCCGCTGCTCTCAGCTTGGTTTTGACTCTAAGGTCTGCGCCGCTTCGTGGGTCGGCGGGCTGCTCCGCGGCATCCTTCGGACTCGGACGCCCTTCGGCTCTTTTCTTCTTTCTACTTTGCACCTGCCCAGGTCTGCTCCGCCTTCTGGGGGCATCTTCCCTTTGCCTCTTCCTTTTGCTGGCGTGTTCGCCCGCTTCCCTCTGGGGAGCAGCTCTCGTTTCCGGAGGCGCATCATGCACAGGCGCCTCCTACACATAGTTTGCATGGCTTTGAATTTCCTGCATTCCGATTGTGTGCCAATCCCTCCTGCTGCTCTCCAGCGGCCTTGCAACGCAGCTCAGCGAAGACTTGTAGCGCGTCTCGGCCGCCTTTTGAAGGCGTTCGGTGCCTCTGTTGGGGAGTTTGTTCTCTCTGACTCTGGCCGCCGCAATCCCCAACTGATTGCACGACTTTCTGAGCTCTGCGGTCGCCACGGGGGACGCTTATGCCTATGCTGTTCACACAGGCACTGCTGTTCCTATGCACAACGATGCTTTTCAAGGCCTGGACCCTCCTACCTGCCACCTGAGCTCTACATGGCCTTCTTGGAGCTCGCTTCACTCCTTCACCATGGCCCGCCACCGGATGATTTTGTGCCTGTCTGGACTCGCGAGGACCCCCACGAAGTTGCTGTCCTTGCCTCTCTTTGGATGGTCTAGGGTTGCTTAGGCTAACCCCGGCTAGGCTTGGAGCGTCCGAGAGCTACCTTTTGGCCCGCACTTCAATTGCTTCGAGGGACAGAATGATCATAGATAGGCGTGGCAGGAATCATGCGGAGTCCAGGTTGGCAGGTCCCAGCATGTTCGATGTTGGGCATGCTTGAGGCCGATGCTAGCCGCCAAACGGTGCACTGTGCGGCAACCGATCGCCGGGATTTTTATCATCAGCTTCAAGCGACCGACCGCAAGGCCGTGACGAATTCTTTGGGGCCTGCTCTCCCGCGTCACGCTGTCTCGCACCTCCGTGCGTTTGGGAAGCTGCTGGGACCTTCCTGCATCGGCTTTGGTGTTTTTGATCCGGGTCACTACCTCGTGTGTTTTGGGGCTGTCGCCCAGGGCAACCATTTGGGGGTTGAGTTGGGCACCGCCGCTCACTCTGCGTTGTTGGAGGAGGAAGGCCTCCTTGCCGAGTCCCGCAGGTTGCGCTCCAACCGGCCTTTCAAGGGTACTACCTGTGCCGAGGGGTTGGTGATCGACGATTACTTTTCGGTCTTGTGTTCGGGACCTCGACGATCCTAGGCCTCCTGAGTGTCTTGACCACTTAGCTCAGGCCAAAGCGGTCTATGCTCGCGAGTCCCTTGAAGGCTCTGACAGTAAGGACATCAAAGGCGCCACGCTTGCTAGGATAGCCGGCGCTGAAGTCGACTCTTCTGATCAGGCTCGGCGGCTTGGTGTGATTAGGCTGCCAGGTCCAGCTGTGTCACCGACGCGCTGTGGCTGTCTTTGGTCGGGAGCTGGACCTCCTGTGCCCTCTTCCGCCGTCCGTTGATGGCTGTCTTCTCGAAGGTGTACGGGGTCGTTGGGGCAAGCTCGGTCAAGGCTTCCGCTCCTGTGCTGTGCTCCCTTCCTCGGCTTGCTGCTCAGGAGCTTGTGCTTGCCAGTGTCCTCTGCCCCTTGGCGTCGGTTGACCTCACTACGGTCTTTGACCCCTGCCTCTATGCCACCGATGCCTCTGAAGCGAAGGGCAGGTTATGTCACTGCTTGGGTTGGCGCTGACCTTGTCAGACCT